AGGGTCGAATTTTTCAAAGCGAAAGACGCCGCGCCCGATGAGAGATTCAATCTCTAAGCGATCTGACTCTTCAAATGGCTTGCCAGGGGTGGTTATTTTTCCTTCTCGACGTAGCCTGAGTGCCAAGGCTGCATCATGCTTCTCTTTTTCTGACATCCAAGTTGTGTAGGGGGTATTTTCTATGGCTATTTGCTTTGGAATATTCTTCGATCCTCTTGGACGTCCACGCTTACGTTTTTCGGTTTCCTTTTGCAGTGGTTCCTCATAGTCGTCATTGTCAGGCTCGTGACTCTGGGGTTCAGTGATTGGGTCATCGATATTTAGAGGGTCAGGGATTATTGTGCTCTCATTGCGGTAGTAAGGTTTCACGGAGACCGTTCTAAAATTAGTTGCCTTGCCATTGACATCAACAGTACAAGTGACGTCATCATTGCTTCGAGCCAAGAGAATGTATGGTCCAATCCAGCCAATATTTTCGCGCCAAACTTTCACCTCACTTTGTAGCGGGAGCTGTATTGTCTCGAGGATGTTTGGCCCGTTTCGCATCGATAGTCCTTCAGCAACCTGTCGTGTAGCTCTGAGTTTTCTGACTTCTGCCATTGCTTTACGTATGGCATTCGCACGTATCGAAATTGATGGTGACGATGGTGACAATTCTGAAATTCGTGGATAGGTTCCAAAGACCAGGAGGGTGGGCACTAATCCGTTAGGGCCAGCTGTGTCATTCACCGCCTTAACTGCCATCTGAAGTATATGATCCGAGGTCACCGTGGTTTCTAAGTCCGCTGAAATGACTTCATACGCACGTTTTAGGATATGATGATACCGTTCTACCTTACCGATCGAGTTGTGAGCCTCTACAGGGACTTCTTCAACTTTGATTGCCATTGCGTGAGCGTTGGCACGAAATTCCATGGCAGTGAGATTAGTTCCGGCATCTGTGACAACAATATCAGGAGGTCCGACGTACATGTCTACCCACATAGTGCGCAATGTGTCCCACGTAGTTTTAGCTGTCATATTAGTCATGAATCTTGCCGCTTGGAAAGCGGTGGCCTCATCAATGGCATGAAGTACTGGTTTTCTATTAATATACATGATATCAATTATAACGCGATAGTTAAATTCAATATCATCGTGCAGTGTAAATCGGAAACGACCAGGAGCGCTACCGTGCATCTGGCATTGATGACAGTATTTAGTGATCTTTGCGAGTGATTCACGATCCAGATTATCATATCCAGCACATGTTAAAACCTTGTATAGACGTTCAACAGCTGGATGACCAAATCTTCGGTGCAATTGACGTAATTCTAATTCTGTTAAGTGACACCAGGCGACTGATTTTTCACGGTCCTCAAGAAGAAGCCAAGGATGGCCCCACTTGCGTACAATTGGGTACTTCTTGTTATTATGAACTAAAATGTTCTCGATATTATTCAAGTAAACGCCGTAGCGATCCATATCAGATAGGCATAGCAGAAATGGAGTGTTGGTCGGCATTATTGCAAAGTGGATCATGCCAAATGGAGTTTTCACAGTAACAGTGCCGAGAGATACGGTTTCTGGATGATCACCAAAGCGAACAGAGTGCTGGCCTGCAACTGCTGTATTGATTTTGATACCTGGGAGTTTTCGCTGCAATGCTTTTACCTGATTCTCACCAGCAGTCGAAATACCTGCAGCGCCGGTATCGGGCATAATGCCCTGAAATTCTTCGGCATCATATCGGCTCTTGAAGTGAAAAAGGTGAGCTGGTTCGATGGATATTTTGCCAAAGGGGTCTGTTCTAGTTAAGGCATGCATAACCGATTGATTATTGAGCATATTTGTTATGATATACCCATTTATATTACCACACGCCGTGTGGAAGTGCTCAAACTTATCAGAGACAGAGGTCTCACGTGTTTCTGAAAGCCAGGCATGAAAATCTTTATCGTTGGATTCGTCATCTGTATGTTCTTCGGTATCAATTCCTTCGTAGTTAACTAGGAATGTTTCCAAGTCTTCACTAAGTCCCATATCTTGAGCGTAAGCACGCCAATCGCTGCGACGTTGTTTACGTTCTTTGGGAGAATGACGGGTTGACCAACATTTAGGTTTGCCACAAACAAAGCACTTCTTTTGCTGTCTTTCACTTCGGTTGTTATTACCTTGAAAATTACCACGGACATAATTGCCACCTTGATTATTGTTCCAACTACGTGAACGGCCGTTTCCTGAATACCGTCTATCAACGAAGTATTGATTACTTTTGTCGCTATTCTCGTCAAGAGCCATGGCGTTGAAGACTCGAGGTAAATTGTTGTGGGATCTCATCCACATACCGACTGCACTTCGAAGGTCAGAAGCTACACCTTCAAATGTTGCTGCTGGCCGTACCAAGACAATAGAGCATGCCTCGACACCTTGACATGCGCTGATTAATTGACCTGGCAGACTATGACTGTCCTTGTAGTTTTGCACAAGTCCTTGATGGATTTTCTGAAGTTTGTCAATTACCATTTCCAGACATTCAGATATATTTCTTTCCGGGTTTGCCTCAATTGTACTTTTTAGCATTGTTGAGCGCCATTCCATGAGGTAGGCTTGGTAATTTTCAGGGGTGTGAAAGTAGGAGCGCGTTTTTTCAATCATTTCATCAAAACTAAGATTTTGACGAGCTAAGTGTTGGTAGTAAAAATTTTGAGCCTTATCCTTTAGCATGGTGGAGTAAGCCGAGCCGTATAAGTCAGGTGTAACACCAGCTTTGTCACACATGTCGTAAAATATTCTAAGTTTAGCATCCAGCACATCATAAAAGCTTCCGCCGAACTTATTATCTGAGTCAACGTAAAACTTTCCAAGATCCGTTAGTAATCTCGCTGTGTTGGTTGTCATAGATACTTGGGAATAGTAGTTATTGGGCTGAATGGATTCTGAACGCTGATTTGGTGGATAGTTTATTGTGGGACGGGTTTGCTGAAGGGGAGGTCCTGGTTTGGAGGCAGAGACGTTTTCGGTGGAGGGTTCTTGTTTTGGAATGGGAGTCGGTTGTGATGTATCTGATTGGCGGTTTCCTAGGATAAATTCGTATTGTCCATCAAAGTTAGGGTTATAACATCGAGACTTGAAATTATAGCCTTTTTGCATATGCAATTCAAGCTCGTCTTTTGGCCATGGTGGACACTCATCACACTTAAGCAAGTAGTATAGTTGGTCTGGAACTTGACCTCGACCACCAACGTAAACTCCGCTATTCTTTAAGCGATCTTTGAGCTCCCTACGAATGTTTTTGTTAGCAATTTTAAAAATGTTGGCAGTCCAGCCTTCAAAATCTTCCTTGAATTGATTCAGTAGTGCCTTGTCAAACTTATTGCTTGATTCATAGAACTCGAGGCAGTCGACGATGTGAGTGTTAATTAGTTCAGGTGCCAAACTTTCTTCATCTTTTACATCAATCTCCATGCCACTGAGCTTGGTGTCAATGGCGATTGCTACCCATGCTTTGTTTCGAAGATCGGCCATCTTAATGTATCTGTGGATTTAGGCTTTAATCCGTAAAATTGACGTGCGTGATGGACGCAGGCAAAGCAGGTAAGCGGTCGAGGAATTGGGACCAATTGGCCGTCACTCCCTTCTTGCAAATTGTAATGCCTTTAAGAGAGTCGTCGCCTGACCGCAGATTTCACTCTTATTCGCACGCTGTCAGATAAGTTAATCTGAAACGCCGCTTCTTTGTCTCGTGTCGAGCTTGACCGCGTCAACACTTACCCCAATGGAATACCTTGCTGTTCTGTGGTTGTATGACTCAAAATGTCAGTTCAACCACTGATCAGTGTTGGTATGACAAAGGTCATACACTACAAGCCAATAGGTTCACTTGAAGTTATGAGAGTACTGTAGTACGTAATGAGAACAATTGTTCGATTGGGTTCGATTGATTATGTATATCTCTCCCCTAAACTATAGCCACGAAGTTGGTATCTATCCTCGGATAATAGTTTACCCGATATAAAAGAATTACAAAGAGAACTGTTATACATCATGCAGGGACCACCAACTCCAAACCCAAGATAGACTCAACCGAATTAATCGTTCCGACACTCGTCAAAACTGAGCTTTAGAAGTTTTTGTCCGTCATAGTTATAAGATCAGTAAGGGGTTAATTTATATTTTATTCTACTGGCTATATACAGCAGTGTATAGTCTTCAACAGGCGAAACGTCGCTGCATTGGAGTGAACCAAAACGCTCCAAGAAATAATTTTTTCTTGACATCAAGTGGAGTAAAGAATAATTGATCTTGATGTTTGCAAATGCTACCTACGCCCGCTTTATGCCTTTACGAACCGAGCATGGAGAGTTTACCGTAGACCACCTCCGCATGGTACATTTCTCCGACAAGACAGTTAGTAGCCGTTAGATAAATATACCTAGAAGTATGATGTAGGCCTTGGCAGGTTAGGAAACGGCTGAGTTGGAGTTGAACTATAGGGATGATAGATTGACCGAGAGAAGTTCTGTCTTCCTAGATCAAAATAGATCGAGGCTCGTGCGCATGGTGGTTGGCTAAAGATAGAATCCTATTGCGGGAGGAAGAGGGATCCTTCCACTCGAACTTCTTATGATCCAGTTCATAGAATATTTTGATTTGGTTGTGTAGGCCGGGGCGCAAAATTTTATTTACAGTTTACAATTGTCAACTTGATCAGACCTAATCTGGCGTTACGATGATCCCCGAGAGTACGAGAACGCTATTTTGCTGGTTTGTGTAATTAAAAAATGATAATCATCCTTTGCAGCCCTTATATGGGTATAATGATAATTAGGATCGTCTGTGAAAAGACGTAAAAATCGTAATTTCGTTGAACTTCATGTAGTGCCCTGAACCAAATAATAAAAGTGACAAGGTTATTTCAACATCTCGACGTCTGTCTTATTCTCCAAATAATTACTTATCTCACATATTTGCTTACTCCAGTTAGTCGCGAGAAACGAAAGGGCTCGATGATTTGAATCTTACCTCATGAAGCGTTTGTGGAAGTCTGACCGGAGAAGATCGTTGACAAACTCCTTCTTCCCCTTGTTCTCAGTCCCTCGTGCTTGATTCTTGAATATAACATCATCGTCCCATCTAGAGTGAAGGTTTATTAGTCACATTTTTTAGTTGGATTGATACATACCTGCGCTTTACGTTGAAATCGGATTTTGTGTTCAATAGAGGATTTCCTAGAGCAATATCACGCTCTCGTTTCTCTTGGTCTTTTGCCGCTTTTTCCTGCTCCTGTAGATCCCCATATTAGAATTGCTGGGAATCATGCTTCACTAACAGCCCGTACCTCTTGTTCCCTTCTCGCCGCCCGTTCCCGCTTTATCTTCTCTAGTTCTCTTTGCAGCTCAGCTGTTTCATCATCATCACTGGTTCCCTGTTAGGAAAAAATCAACCTCTGTCTTATTCAGTATACCTGTTATCGTCGCTAGAGTCGTCAGCTACATCGTCTGAACTAGACTCTGCATCGATTTGTCTTGTTTCCTCAAGAATTCGCCGACGTTTCGTCTCAGACTCTCCATCCTCTCCTGTACTTCTCTGCTCGAGTAGCAGCTTTGAATCACCTGTTTTATGACCTTCTGATGGAGGTAAAGTCTGCCCGTGGATCTTTGAAATGTGAGCGGCCTCTGCTTGCAATAATTCATGCCTCAAATCACGAGTTTTCAAATCAGCATCGCCTCCTTGTCCTGGTTGCCTGCCTTGAATTATTACTGACTTCTTGCTATGGATTCAAGGGCCTAACCGAAATTTTAACTGTGTATGAGCTGGAAGAAGCCGCTGGTGATATGCAGGGCCTCTTTGAGCTTCTTTTCCTTTGGCCTAAATCAATAAGTCGTGTATCAAAGCAGATGTGTATAGAGACGCACAGGATCAAAAGTTGGTCTATGTGCTGCGGTCGGTTAATTAGGAAACAAAGGCTAAGAATAATACTATTTGCTGAGTTTCATACCAGTGGTCATCTTCTCTATTGGTGAGATTTACGCAATGAGTTATAAATATCTTGTACAAGTCCTTCACTCGTCAAAATGAGTTCGAGGTATTTGGGACGGAGCCAAGTTAAGCGGTGATTTTGGATTATGAACAATTTTTCGAGTAGATGCTAAGAACGTAGCCCAAGAAGATGGATGAATTTCAGCAAGTCAAAACCCGTCTGTGATAACGTACGCATAGCGCGATGGACGCAGCATGATCGGCTCCACTCCAATCATGTGACCAAGTCCAAATTTATTCATCCATTTATATCCTGTTTAATTTTCCAACTATGTGTTTTTCCCCCGGCACAGAGCAGAGTCTCACCACGTTTATGCTGACTAGAAATTTGCACGGAAGGATGTTACACTCTGGCCCTTTAACCAAACTCAAATATATAGATAGTTAGCTGTCCCAGCATTTTAATGCCCAAGAAACTTTATCGCAAATTCATTTCATGTTATGGAGCAGGATAACCCTTCTATATCCCTTTGCCCAGAAAAACTAAAGGCTTTGGCAATTCAGGTTTGGACAGTCAAAGGCCTCAGGTATCCAGGGCAGTAAGCTTTGGCGTCTTATGTCCTACTTAGGATTTATATTAGATAGACGTAAGTAATAAACCAAACCAACTATGTTGGACAATGGGCTCAAAGCAGTCTCTCGATTCAAATACGAAGTGAGCACATGAGGCTCAACTCGTATTTATATAGAAGAAAAGTACCCGGAGTCTACAGTCCAAGCTGTCCATGTGGCTACTAATCGCAGAACCCCAAGCACATGATTATGTCCTGCCCTCGATGATCAAATGGAAGAGGAGAGATCTGGAGACAAACGAAAGATCGATCCTACGAAACTATACTAAAAAATCCTGTAGATATCAAAAAGATAACACAGTAGTTCCCAAATCATGGTTGGATAGAGCAATTCTAGATGACAAAGGCGGACGAAATACTGCTGAGGGAAGGGAACAGGTCAGCCATTCTTGAGGTCGATAGAAATGATGTGATTGGTTCACATGGAAGGCACCACAGTATAACTGCGCCTTCTGAAGGATACACTAGAAAAACATGGACGATAAACAGGAAGGTTTGAGGGGTTTTCACCAAAAGGTTTCCTCCCATGTAAATTAGAAAGTATATAGACACCTGCATGGGCCCATAGGGCGTCAAATCAGGATAATGAAATCAAATTCAAACTATGTCGGACACATTGTTCAAATACAAATTATCTTTTTCATTCTAATTGGGATTTTCCGTCATTTGATGGTGGGATCCCCGTTACTGGTTCACCACCAAGTCCACATGTTGGAGGGCAAGACTGAACACCCGTACGCGGTATCCTCTACGAACCTAGGAGTGAAATATCCTCCCAGAGCCAAGTTCAGTCAAATTTCGCAATACCGAACAAGTTGTCCCACGAGGCAATAATTCAAAATACTCCACCACATCAAATTTTCACCCCCAACGAGATCGACTCCTACCTTCATCTACAAGTACGACCTAGTACATCCTCATTCTAATGACCACACCTCTCATCGACTTTCTCTGGCCTCAGTTGACCACCAAATACATGCCTACGCTGATATTCATACCCGCAGGAGGAATCAAAGCGTGGCGCACAAATCTGGGAGACATTTCTTTGGGATGGACTTGAGAAGGATCAGGAAAAGTTCACCAGATGATGCAGAGGATGGATACAATCTCAACGGGTCTCAAGTTTTGAATTTTGAAAATGAGTTTTGAGAATTGAGCTTTGTTCTTGCGCCAAGACTTCGCATGCGAGTGCAGGCGACACTACAAAAGCCGCCATGGTTGGATGGTGCTGTGATACATCATCTGAGCAGGTGTCCAAAGTAGATTTCGGACCTCTAGGACACATATCCCACTCGAAATAGGAGACCGCTGGCTCGAATGTGGCAAAACTTAACCATATGTCTGGCGGTGCAAGTTTACATGGATGACGAAGGCATGCTTGGATAATCAAAGGTTTTGAAACGTCCCTTTGATGGGTACTCACAGAGGAGGGTCGACGGCTTGTGTAAGCGAACACACCTCATAGTGGTATTTGCGGACGAAATCCAGTGTATGAGTGTCTCTAACGTCAAAAGAGTCATCCAACATGTATACATAGCACCAGTCGTGTGTCATAGCTATATAGCTGTACACATATTAAATGATTTCAAAAAAAAGTGCAGTTCAGTTCCAATGTAAAAAAATGTATGGAAAATTATATCATTCGCAGGGATAATTATTGTGTATCATCTGGCTGCAATTATCCTTTTCAATCTATAGTTCACCATAGATTGAAAATGAACCACCTCTGATCATACACACATCCAAATTTGCCGCAAGTACTGGGCATGGTGACATTGCCAGTAATCATAGATGATTTCAGAACTAGAATGAAGAAAACTTTGCAAATGCGGACGAGAGAAGCGGCCATGGCATTTTGCAGAGTGTCGCCCGGCTATCCAGAAATGGCGGACGGAAACGGAGGGAACTCGACTTACGATAGGGGATATAATAGGGAAAGAAGGATGGCAGATATTCTGGCGTTTTTTAACAGTAACAAAATTTTATAGCAAGATTAAATCGTGAAAAATTGATTTAAAAGTCAACTGTAATAATTCTTAGGGTCTTAAAGTGTGGCACAAGGATTAAAGTAAAGTTCATGGCATTATCTACTTTGGAAAGGTGGGTTAATTTGTTTTTTTTTAAATTTTATTGTCCTGTCTAAGTTTATGACTATGTAGGACATGCAGGTCCTCTCTGCCTACAGGCCAAGGATACCTATAACAGTAGTATATCTCCTCCTATGCCTCCCTTACAGCTCCCCTCAAACAGTACCACCCTTCACAAGTCCTCCATCGATCATACACTTTGAGGAGTCCTTTGCCCCTCATTATCTACCCTCTCCAGCCAACGAAATGATGACTATTTGCGGGTGCATGGCATCCGGGAAGAATCGCAAATACCACTGGGTGCGGAGCTCTCCTAATACCGACATTAGGACTAGGTCTGAAGACATAGTGACCCTTTCGAAGCGTTCGAAGAGGCCAGCCAGCTGGGCACAGCAGGCTTGTGAGCCATTGGAAGAAATTCACGCTCTGCCTCTCTAGCCTCCTTCCAACCCTTTACTAATGGTAGTGCTGAAATGTCAGAAAAGTCTTGATAGAGCGTGATTGCTTTGTAAATGCTTAGCCCAACTCTTTTGTGCCGTCTGGGGAATTAAGTACTTCAGTAGACTCAAAAATGGAAGTCCTGATTTTTTACCCGAAACCATAGCTGTGGCGTCCACAAACACCCCAGAGTCGAACGCCATTCGAAGATGTTAATCCTAGCTTGTCCATTAGTGACACCTTCCCTTTCTCTCCATGTTTCAACAGTCCGTCCTAATTCATGTAGTAAAGACCCATTAGAGCAACAGTCCAGCATTAGCCCAAGCCCGAGCTTTGTATAGTATGGCTTAGTTTCCTCCTTGCGAGAATACCTATTACCATATTTTGGTAGTGGTTTGTGGCCGGTAATTTATGAGGAAAGCCTCTGTTTGCAACTGCAGCAACTCCTCTATCGTTCTTTTTTTTTTTTTTGAATCATATTGTATTCAGCTATCTAGCTATGACAATTCCTTTATCGTTCGTTGAGGCGAGATCGTGTAGGGGGATTGAGGTGGAGGACTCACGTGAGAATGATAAGATCGAGTTTGATGAGAAATCGTCGATAGAAGATACACCTCTGTTTGCTTTCGACTTCGATTCAGATTTGATTCCTCTTAGCTCTCCCTAGTATGCAGAGCACACTAGGAAATTACAACAGTACCGCTGAAAGATGAAGAATTCGTCTCTACCAGCTCGGTAGCTACTTTAATGAGTTCGCTCTCCAGGCTGATGACTGACGGGATATTTTTTCCTTAAGAATCCAAGTTACTTCCCTTCGAGAAGGATCTCTGTTATTTCTACATTGTGGACTTTTTGACAACTCCCTAGAAGATTCTCGACATACCTTCCACTTTCACGAAACTTCAGTGTGTTTCTGTAAGGTGCACTGGGTATCATCTAAGCTCCTTGTCTTCCGAGACCTTTGCAATAGATTTCCTTGGTATCTTTGCCTGCGCTACCCAGCGTAGGCTATGGTAATTCTTAGGCATGACAGCCACCACACGTATCTATGGATATTATTAAACAAATTGAATGGCTGATATTACAAGCTAAAAAACTACATTTTCATAAATCTGAGTTTAATTCAGCCCAGGTTATAGGAACGTTCCTGAAAGGCTCAGTGCTCCCGATTTGAACCATTAGGTCACCTATTGTTTTCTTCATTCTGTCATTATGGCAGCCCGGAGTGTTGCAAATCTTGCTGATCTTAAATTTTAATCCCAAACTTCGAATCTGCCCATCTAACGTTTTCAACACATTTGTATGCCTGCGGATATAATTTTCAATAATGGCACCATTGTTTTTCTCTTCACCAATTTTGGTCACTGGCAACCATACGGTATTGTTGAATTGGCGTTTGAAAACATGCAGGTATCCAAAGTACCAAACGAGTATATACTTGGTATTTCTTTCGGTCCAAATCGCATAAACTTGTTCAATTCTCACAATTTCTTTGAAATCGATCGCTTGGTCCATGTTTACCTGTTGATTTACACGAGGCTTGGACGGGGCGAATTGATGAAATGTTCCCGATACTGATATCAAGCTGCGGTAAGCCAGATTGATGATGTTACCATTTGTACAAACACCACTTGAGACGAGACTAGCTGCTGATATCGGCTCTGAATTATGTCCTTGAATCGATAATTGTTTTATTTGTTTCAAGCAATTTTGATCTCTCGTATTAGTAGAGATAAAGTTTTGATGTGAAATTGTTTTCATCGACTCTGAATGAACGAGTGATTTAGCTATTTCAAGCGCCGAATTGGAAGCTGAACAGTACGCTTTGAAATTCGTACCCATGTAAATGTTTTTGTTTAGCGTTGTAGTTATGTGAAGTTGCGAGTTAGCCACAGGGAACATGCCAGGAGTGGGGTTTTTGTAGGCGCCATAAAAAGATCTACTCTGATCGCTACCCAATATGAGAAGGCGCTCGAGATGTGTCTGAGTGAGTTTCGACCTGTCTATTGGATCATTTTTCAAATCCGGCATCTGCATAAATAAAAAAACATAAGCGCAGGAGACCATAGCCGGCTATTTATTGCTGTAAAATGCTTGTCACGCCGTGGACCAAATGGTTAGCGGCCAGAAAATGCTCTTCCTTAGATCTTTGTGCCGAGCAGGTTCTTTCTCTCTTGGTTAAGCTTCAAAAGAGTGGAGCTCGAAATTATAGATAAAGTAAAACCAAATTATAATGGCCAGAGAACGATAATGAGGCGAAGAATAACTAATGGCGATGATATTGAGTAAATCGAACTTTTTTGAGAACTAACACGACTACGGGCAATGGCCATTTGTACTTTGTCTTCAGCTTGCTCAGTCCATACTCTTTTGATGAGTGCCGTCTCACTTTGCCATTGTCCAATTTAATTTTACCCAGTCATGATACTCTTTCGTCTCGCATTCATTCGTGACCTCAAATCATCGTGGCGGAGCGGCACTTAACCACCTGGTTCAAAATGGAGCAGAGCTTGTTCCCTCCTGATGCCGCTGGCTTCGACTTCGATTCTAGCTAATCATGACGGAAGTCAAAACGTACTAGATAGTCATTTGTCCCATACGACTCTGTCTTGCGCGTTAGTTTTGATGAGTTTTCATTCCCGAAAGTCATGAGACGGACACGTAACGAGTCAGCCCGGTTGAATTTTTAAAATTAAGCTTAACATAACGCGTTCCTCCCTAACAGATTCTGGTGATGGGTCAAAGAAAATTTTGACGGGATACGATGAATTGGTGAAAATATTCGATACTCATTGACTACTGGGAGCCCGAGTTTGTGGGTTAGCTGCCAAGGTCTTCCATTTGTCTCGCGAATAGCATGAGTTGCGCTGCTTCTAACACAAGCACACTTCAGCTTTACTGAATCATGAATTAAAATCTTTCTGAGATGAAGAGTCCACATTGGCCCTTTTTGTTTCCTAACGCTGCCAGAGTTGTCCCAATGTCAAGATTGTTCTGATTTGGTGATTCATATGACTGAAAAACTAGCCATTCCTTTGATGATGAAAACTAATCTAAAGCTTCTTCAGCGTAACTAGTTCTTGGCATTCTACGCCACTTTAAGCTGGTACCAATGCAGAAAAAGAATAACTCTGATTATTCTGGCGTCACTCACTTGGAGTCTTTGGAGTCCAAACCCTGAGACCAGGTACAGCAAAGTTTACAGGGCTACGATCTCTTCGTCCTGAAGACAGTTTGACTCGATTTCCCTGCTGCACCACAACCCAGGGTTTAAATATTAGAGGGCAATCCCTGGTTCCTCAAAAACTACTGAAAAAAGTTAATCATAGCCTATGAGTAGGCCGCGTTAATTTGTACAAGGCAGCAGACTACATTTCAATTCAATTTCACTCGTTTTTCACGAAAGCTTTCTTCAAGATTACGATTTGGGGACAACAATCCAGAAATAAAATTAACATTCGTAGGAAATTTGATCAAAAATTTAGACCTCCCCGGAACTATTCGCTCGCATTCTCATGTATCGAAACAGCCCACGAATCTACATCGTGCGTCCCATCTGGCGCTACACGAGGAAAAAGCAATGTTCCTCATGAATCAAAGCTCCCGAGCAACAACTAGGAAGATGAAGACTGTACATCTGTCGGTGGAAACTTAAATAGACTGAAGAGTGAGATGTTGTCAGTGATCTGGGTTTCAAATATTTCGCACGGTGCAAAAGAAATCGGCACATGAGACAATGGTAGAATACTATCGACCACGTTAGTTCTTCCCCTCCAATAAAACTAGATCCCAATTAAAACCTAATCAGGTCTGCGACTACATCCTATCTTAATTAACCACACTACTCCTTGATCCAGCCTCGGCCTGTAGATATACGCTTACGACGCTTTCGATATCCGCAGATTTACTTCAACAGCGGCCCTCAAGCCAGGTGGGATAGATCTTTTTACTGAAGCTAGGAGATATGCGGGTAGGTGGACCAGGTTAGTTTAGGGATATATAAATTCACAAAAGGCTTACCGCTAAGTCATTGGAAGTATTTCATGTTGAAGAAAACGAAAAAGACACTGTCAGGGTAGTTGCACTCAGTTTGTGCAGGGCTAAATCATTTTGGCCGGCTTCTCAAGCAGAGTCTGAATAGCTTGGTCACCTGTCTAACTTGAGACTGGAGATCGCTTGTTCGAATTCAGTTGAACGAACCATATCACGTATGGCTCTTTAGTGGAAAGAATGAATCGGGACTGCTAGGATATCCAAAGGAGTTGTTAGCTTTGCATTTGATGGGAATGTACGGTTAAAGAAAGGGTGTAAGTGTCAAGGGGTAGCTACGCAAATAAACCAAAGAAATTGGAGACGAAACTCAGCGCCTGTCAGTGGTGTCTCCTACGAACCTCAAGCTCTCACTGTGAAGTCTGCAGCGGCGATATTGGCTTACACCTTCGACCTCACCTCCATGAGAATCCCCGATCCCTTTCGCCGTCTATATCGTCCTCATCTCTCAAAACGTCACCCCATCACCATTATCACAAAGCTAACCACGATCAGATCAGATGGTAGGGTCGGAGCCCTTCTCATCACCTACCCTTGATCATGGAAGAAAAGCCATCCGATGAGTTTCCGGAGCATACACAGCGCCCAATATGGAGATGGTGGATTGCACCGAGTTGAACCCTGAAATTACAAAGTAGAGGGATATAGATGAATATTTGCATCTCACGTGGTCCTGGTATCTAGGCCTCTTTTTTTAATTCATAGTGAATTCAGCTATCTAGCTACGACATAGATTTTATATGATCCCACTCCCAAAAACTCCTACCTTGCATCCAATTCATTAATCAATTTTCTTAAATTCCCAATCTGATTTCCTGATTTAATTTCGTTTATGTGCTGCCATGCGCTTGGATGTATTTAAATATTTGAGTGAAGCTTCTTTTCCTCGTCTTGTGCAAAATAATATTGGAAGTGTCATTGGCTCTATCCCCTGAAAACATTTGTTTCTCCGCTCTTTAAACTATGGATATTGTAACAACAGATGCTAAACATTCTGCCTTTCTCTCTGACAAAAGTTACACACACTGTCTTCAACCTTCCTAATCATGCGCAGATAGACCCTTGTATTTCCTACACATAGCCTTACCTGAAAGTATCCAGATTCTTTGTTTCTGCTTTATCCTCGGAATCTAAAAAGTTTTATGTTAAAATTTGTATGGTTCGGTTCGACCTGGAGCCTGTTATACTTGCCGAATCCTTTAGCTTTTCGGCCTTCCTCTGCATGCCAGAGTTCCAAGTTCCAATCGTTTTGTAATGTCTGTAAAATCCATTTTCTAGCCTTCTGCGTGATAAATAAATGAGAAGAAAACTTATCCCTTGTCAGAGATGATTTCTTTCTGCCCCCTTTAGCTAATCTATCAGCAAACTCATTTCCTTCTATTCCAACATGCGCAGGACACCATTTAAGATATAAAGTGCACCGTTGAGATGCTCTCCTATTCTGGCGAGAAAATTGATTACTGCTGTGCTGGACCCGAAGAATACTGGCTTGGCTATTAGTGAAAATATATATGACTTTATGAGCAAAATATTTCATGCCGTGTTGTGTTGCTTCCAATGTGCAGAAAGCTACGGCATTTGCTATATACTTCAAATCCCCGAAATTGTGCAAGAAGCATTTCATCTCTCCGGAAACTGGAATGTATGCCACAAAGACGAAGCTGCTTCCAGTTATCTTTGAAAGTAATTCATATTTGTAAACTATAACATCAAGGTAGTTACTCTTCACATGTTGTAGATGTCCATCATTAGTTACCTCTTTTGAACGGGTAGATATATTGGTATGAGTAAAAATTTGGTGCCAAGGAGCGAGACATTAGACATTTCGTTGCTCTAGGTTCTTGAAGCTAGCAAGAGGCTTTAAGGTTAACCCAATCCTCATGAGTTGTATCACTGGCTTGCCTATGAATTCAAATAAGTCTAAATCTATTTGGTCTTTTTTTATATTTTTTATTATATTAAAGTCCTAAGCTAAAGCTCTAGGTCCACTATAGGTACAAGACTGGTGAAGCCGGCGGGGATCACTGCTTACAGGCCCAGCTCATTCCAACCGCGAGACCCGCTACAGAAAAAGTAGAAGGTAAATTGTAATTCAGAGGACACCACCTAATCCGAAGTCATGAAAATAAACAACTCCGAATATCAGAAGATTCCTCCATGTTGGACCAAAGCAATGCGTTCCTTACACATTCCCTCGTCCGTCACATCTTCCAGATGACAAATTAGCCCATTCTCCGCTGAGAGCAAAAGATGGGTTAGCAGGCACCTTTGATCCAGCCGGTATCCTGCTATTGGTCAGTAGATGTCCCAAAGAGGACATCGTCGAGGTTGCTGTTCCCTCAGGCTTCTTCTTCAGATTCCAGCACTCCGAAACCAGTAGCCTCAGCCATCGAGACATCCTTTGCCGCGGCGATGATCGCCTCCTCGGCCCTTTTGGCTGATGCTCGAGCTCGTGCCACCTTTGAGAACTTCCTATAGGAATACTCTTGCATACAGTACCCCAATCTGCATGGGGTAAACTTAGCCCTGAAACTAATCAGGGAGGAGCTTTGGGTTAGTCATGAATTATTCATGCAAGGAAAGGTGGTCAGAGCTGAAGTGGAAAACTTTTCCTGTGTAGAGTGCCTCTAGAGAGTAGTCTTATGCGAGAGGTAGTAGGTATAGGTAATCTTAATATAATTTATTGGTTAATTCGCCCCAAAGAAGACCTACAGTAGCTGTGCTCTAAGATTGAGAAACAACGCATCCCTTGCTCGATCTGGCGGATACACATGAGCAGCTCTTTTGTCATCGGTCCCCCACAGTTACGACACTTGGTGAGGGCCTTGCACTGTTCAATTTACCGACGAGGCTTGTGAATGGTAGCCTTACCAGACTCGTCGAAAAGGCGGAATCCAGGTCGAAGAGGGCACGCAAGTTGCGATACGGCGCCCCTGGCCGGCACGTCCCATGAGGTCGGACATGAATTGGTATCACGTTGGTCGTAATGGTGATCTGGGGCCGCTCTCTGTAACTAGACTTACAGGTACGTTCGGTATCTATAAGGCTACAAGATCTGAAGATGCTTCGAGTTTGGCGTTAACACTCGCCAGCTCCGAAAAGTAACATCTCTTGTCGTGCGTTTTCGTTCTTTGCCATCAAAACAAAGCCAGATTTTACTCGATGAAACGAGCTGATATTGTCAGGCATATAATACATGCTCATCTCCATTCGGTCTTTTGCGACCAACGTGGACAGTTTGCGCCACGAGTGGTCCTTTTCAAGGCGAAGGAACAATCGTTTGTCGACTTTTGCCTTCGGGGCGTCTTTATTTGGGGCTTTGGCCGCAGGTCGCGACACAGCCTTTGCAGTAGGGGTTGCTTTTGTCGCAGTCCGTTTCTGGTCACCGTAACCCAGGTGCTTTTTGCAGGCAGCGCTGTGATAGCCGAAATTTGTATGCTCCTAGAGTCGAGAGCCCTTTGGACGGGGTTCGCCGGGCGAGGAGGGAGGACGAGTGGCGTGGGGGCTGAGCCCGAGGCCATTTATTGCGCTATGGCCGCGCGAAGGTAGACTCTCATCGACTCTGCAAATTGTCTACTTGACCCGTTGGTCAAAGGGAGGAGGTTGGCTTCGACGCCAGAGATGGCGGCGGAGTAGAGGGCCAGATTTGCCGCTGTTTCTGCGGCGCGTCGTTGTTCGGCCTTGACGATTGGTCGAAGTTCTAGCGGGCAGTCTGCTTTCGTGGCAGCTTTTGGCTGCGACGTTAATTTTGGCGCTACTTTGGGTGCAGCGTTTTCCGACGGTTTTGATGCGGTCGGATGAGATTTTGACGATTCTCCAATCCCGTGGGGGACGGAGGGTGGTTGAGGAATTTCCTCAATAATTTCAATTGACCCGATCATGTCAGTATCGGGTTCAGCGACGGCGGGGAGGGCTTTTTCCTTCCCTTTAGTAGACACCTTGCTCATCTCCGCGCATTTCGGAGACTGGGCAAGGCCAGGTACTTGTTCGAGAGCCCTCGGGTGGACTCTCGTGTTGTCCAACTTGGCGTTGGGACGCTTTTTTCGAACTGGAGGCATGGCGAAAATTCCTGAGCTCGATCACAATTCAGAGATGAATGCGACGAGATGGAGAGGGGAGGAAAGGGCGAAATGATGAATTCTCGAATTTCTCGAAATGTGCGACTTGTTTTTTCATGAACGAGTTAAGTAAAGTAACTCCCGTCGCACTCCTACTGGAGCTTGAGCACGAGCGGGGCCAGGCTGGACAAATTAACTACTGTGAAGTACAGATTAGCTTGTCCCACCTGAATGACAGGACCATCTCAGACTTCACCTAGGTGTTGAATCATACCAAGCCTAACCGTCCAGAAACCCGCTCTACACACGCCGTAGCTCAAATTCCTCCTCAGCCTCGGCCACCACGCGCCCGAACCTTTGACATCCTCATTGACTCCGAAATATATATGTAGTCCTAGATCTCATCGTTGCTCTAGTCTTGCACCTTCATATCGTACCGTCGGGTTGTTGTCGTCATTGAGGATTTGTGTGATCCCCTCATTGTATCTTCCCTTTTCTTCCACCTTTTTAAACGTCCCGTTTCCATCATGACTTTCCTCATTAGGGCGTGTATTGATAAGTCATGTGACAAGTATAGAGGTGGATCGCAGGTGTAGAATCGACTGATGAATGCTTCGTCGCAAGTACATAAGGAGTTAGAGAGGTGCTATTCGTTTGAATACGACCCCCAGACAGACCTAAGCTGATTCGTGAATCGTATGTTGGTGGTGATGAGTTTTGGTTCGACTTTCTTGCGGTTGTGAGATCTCTGCCGACTGATTTTTCGACCAAAATGCCGAATTCAACTCCTTCCAGCCGAAGATCAATCAGGTAAAATCCATCTCACCCTTTTTCGTAACTGAATCTCGGCTCTGGGAGAATCTTTCATTCCCAGGTTCGTAGAGGACACCCCTGACAGGTGTTCAGCCTATGTCCTCCTTGGTGCATAGCTGGTCGGACTCGGGTAGTTTCAGAGTGCTTTAGGGCGAGCTAGAGCGTCGGGTAGGTCTGTAGGGACCGGGCCGTCTAGTACATGACAGTAGTCACGAACTACGGACAGGCACTACGCTAATCTTTATTAAAGTAAAAATTCAATCAAACTCATGACAGTTTTCCGTGATATTTTTCCATCAAATTTGACTCGGTCTAACATTGTCGGGTCATGGTATATTTGTGTCGACTAATCCAAGCTGACCTAACTGGCTGACTCAAACGTGAGACTTGAGAATGTCAGACTGTTGTGCTGGCTCGGTTGAGTTGTTAGGAGACAGGGGAACGGAGGATGGGCTGCTGGATTAGGAAAGGGTGGAAAATACAGGCTGGTGCACAGACGCTGTTCATGTACTCTACAATCTCTTCACCTGCCGAGTTTAGTGAATCAATCTATCCATATAATATCATACTTCACATCATCCATTAGATGATGTTATCAATCGTCGGGATGCACATCTAGCATCACCTTCATAGATCACCATTGTCAGTAAGAGTTCACATTTGATACCTACTGACACCCATTTGGCCACAGTGATACGCACTCAGTGTCCATCGTGCCATCACCCAGCGTGAGCGCGCCATCTCCGCGACTCACCATTGCACATGAGCCCGTGTAATTCTACCGACGGACAGCAGAGACATAATTGCTATATACCTCACAGCTCATAACCACAACACAGACACTGGCTAGGGGCTGCTATACCTTGGGGGATCATGTATTCTAGATATTCTCCATACACCGTGTATGCCAACGGTATGGTGGTCTGGCCAAAATCAGACGAACAGCAACAATAACAACAACTTTTAAGACGCTCATCACAATCGATCATGAGGTATGAGAAGAACGTATGGTACATATGAAGAGAACAGGAAGTTCCGAATCATCCCATTTATTGTTCGGACTCGCAATGATTTACTCGTGGGCCTAACTGTCTGCCTCACGACTCACAGCCGGTTCTAAAAATACCATACGATAGTTGTCCGTTAATTTCCATGTCACTTGGAAGTTAGCAAAATTCATCCACATGGTCCCCGATCCAAGCCAGCCCACTTTCTCCATTCTCTAATTCAACTCTTCATCAGTATCTAGCCAGAAGTAACGCGGTATCACTAACCATCCCTGTCACGCTTCATTATAACTTGCAAGCTGACTGACTCGCACTACCTCGACGAAATTAGTTTCCCAAGAGAAACCTACACGAATACGAATAATGTGGGAGTCAAATCACGAAGAGCCACCGAACAATATTCTTTCTGAATCGCATCTTCAGTCATCTAAAAGAACGACGTTGATACTTTCCAACCCTACCCGACAAAGGGAGATTATGTGCGGCAGAATCCTTTCACGACAATTCTTATATCTGACCGTAACAACTTGATCAGCCACAAAACTCTTGATAACCTGCCGGTGTAACGAAACCCAACTCTTGCCAGCCATGATATCTTGCGCCTATGCACTTCTTTTCTCGAACGAGGGATATTTATATGGTCCCTCATCATTTAGTAACTTGCGTCTAAATCAGCCAGAAGAGACGCCAAAAGTTAGTGCTCTGCATAGTCTAGTTATTCTTGGAGATGGGTTTAGAAACTCGTTCTATGGTGCCTACGAATTTCCTTCTGATGGCCAATTCCCCATACCCGACGCAAAATTCGGCATAGCTAAAACCCAAGATAAAAGTCATCGTTCCGACACTAAAGTAGTTGCTTACTGCTCACCCACCCTATCCTCTATGGAAATAATCGAAAAATTAAACTACGACCTTATTCCCATGAGCAGAACCTACTGCTCAGAATCACGAACTATGCTGCAACCAGAGAGCCATTGTTTGGATGAGATTTACGAAGATCAGCGTCAAATATTGAAAAATTCACCAACACCGCCAAGAGAACTTGCACAAAACGACAAATGTTCAAGTCGCGATATCATCAGTCTAGCTCATCGCGGCTTAATATCGATAGCTGGAGTATATAGTACCATGGTCCCAACTCATAAAAATAAATATTTGAAAGCAAATACGAAAAGCGCGGAGTCCTCGGTGGACTTCAACCGTATTCCCAGAGTTTATCTAAAAGGCACGGTGGCTCTGGAAGAGATTTTGACACGTAATGAAATCGTTGGGTCATACCAAAATGATAAGATGACAATGGCACTCGTTTGGTACTTTGGTCACCTTCATCTTTTTCAAAAAGATCGTGGGACTAGCATATGGTGGCCCAAGACGAAGATTGAGGTTGAAAACAGCAACGGTGCGATGATTATAAACTTTATGCGTCACCGAATGAAAATATTTAAAGAGCTGGATAATAGAATCGCAAGGTATGGCTTGGCGCCTAATGCAGTTGATTGTTTTCCGTTTACACGCTGCACCCTCTTTGAAATGAAAAAGAAGACTGAGCGAGATATGGCCGAAATCCGTCAACTGGGAATTGAAAATCAAAGTGATGCATACTATAATTTCTTATATACCCGTTATTGAAAAGAATGCTCGCCAGCCTGTGCAACTTGGATTATTTGGTAGCGGTGGAGGGAATAAATTTGCACACTTCTCTTATATATTTAATGTCAAGAGTTCAACTAATTCATTACACTTGATTTAACCTTATTTTTCTCCGAAACAGATTTAATTTAAGAATTTCTTTAAGAGATAGGATAATCATAAGGAGAGGATGTAATTTTTGCAGTAGTTATTTGACTTTGAATGCCTTTGCATGTTGAAGTGTAACACGACCGGTCACGAATTGAACAGTAACAGACTGACATTGCTGGATAACTTTGGCCCACATGAATATCCGGAGTTTCTTATAATAAATAGTTCATCTTCCCAGGCTCAATCACTAGAACTTCTCAGGCTGGAGCGCTACTTTCGACGGTGGTGCAAGACTAGTAGATCTGAACTGCACCACGCCCAGAATTAAAGATTGCCACGTTCGTACGGAAAAGAATAGAATAGAATTTTATTTATGTCCCTACTGAGTCTATGACTGTGAAGGACAGCTAAAGTCATCTAAATAGCGTTAAAGCTAATAGTAAGTTGGAAACTTTTTTGCTTCATTTCTGCCAATAGATGATGAGGGTCATGCCCTACTTTGTTCCTGCTCGTACGGAATGGATAGAGAGAGAAAAGTTCATCACACCACACCTTCTCCTCGTTTAGATTAAGAGACGCATATGATCTGTGTTAAGATTGAGTCAATTGAGTTTATGTAATCATGTAGAGCGCGAATGTGACGAGTATGACTAAACTGAGAAGCTCCCTGAGCGCGGATATGATAGGGTTTTACTAGCTTCGCTAAAGAGTGACTTTCTCCTGCCTCCGACATCCGCTGGATAATATTCTATACATGATATTAAATGGATAAATAATCGTAGAGTAAAGCAATCACGAGAAGAGGAAGGGGCAGGAAGGCAGCTCTAATGTAGAGATGAAAGCAGTAGATTGGCTATGAGGAGAGAGTATCTACAGGCGGACAGGGACTATATGATAACGTGCACGTACCACATGTACTCACGCTATTGTAACTAGGGCTAGGTTGAGGCGAGACCGTAACTAAAGCAGACACAACTGGACAAATATGGGATCATTTAAAAATTTCATGTAATATTTTCACTCGGCCATATATGCAGTCCTAATGGACATTGAGTAGCAAAGTCCTCACTTCAATAAGGATTCCCGATTGCTTCCGTGGTCTGTATCGTCTTCATCTCTCAACCAAATCGCCTATTACTATTACCATGAAGCTAACCACTGTTAGAGGCTTAAAGTTAACAGGATAGGTTCCCTGGACAAGGTCTGGAGATCAATTGAGTAATGTCGATCTTAGATAACACTAACATTACCCCTGTAAAATATCTTCACTCTGTAGACCTTTAAGTACCCCGTAGAGTCATCTTTTGGATATCATTGTTTTAGATAATCAGGATAGACTTCGTTAACTTCGTTCGATTGTTCAGATCACGACTCGTTTCGTGACAACCACTTTCAGATCAGGTGGTAGGGTCGAAGCTCTTCTCATCACCCACCCCTGATCATGGAGGAAAAGCCATCCGATGGGCTTACGGAGCGTAACTAGCACGCGATGCGAATATGGTGGATTGGATCAAGTTGGCTTTTACTGCCACAAAGAAGGCAGATGTAGATGAGTATGCGCACCCCGTGTGGTCCCGGTGTCTAAGCCTCGCCTGGCTGGGGCTGTAGGTTTTTTGAGACTTTTTCGCGCGCACGCAGTTTCCATTGCTACCCTTTTTTTGGGGGGGGGTAGAAGGTTCCTTGGAAATGGCGGCCGAATTGCACGCGTAGATTGGATTTGAATTATGGTCCTAACTGAGTCAATGAATATTGAGGTCTTCCAGAATCTACAAATAAGATACTAGCTACATGTTTTAAATTCCAATTGTTATTAAGGAAATAATGACCCCTCAGTCATTGAGGTTGTAGAGCACATTGATTCTACTACCGAAGTGAAACTAAGTACAGAATTTGTAGTCACGTGTGTATCGATAAGGTGGCCTACTTGATAGCCCCAATTATTCTACTTTCTAACAATTGTTGAACTTTACGCTTTGCTCTCATAGACAGTGAGGGACAAGCCCTGAATTGCACGCGTAAACACTGAGCTAATTGGCTTTTTGTCCAGTAGCTGGGAGCCTGACCGGTGACAGACGAAGTGTATGTACTTAGAGTAAAACATAACTTAGTAAAGAGCCACTTGATTCCTGTTCCTCCCGGAATTCTAGCACTATGTACACTGATTATGTTTGACTTGATCTCAAAATATAGATATGCGCTAGGGATAGAATAACTTACGGCTCTAAATACAGAGTGCAAGCACTGACCGAGGCAAAAATCCCACGTGCGTATGGACAGTCCCTATTTTGACCCGAGACATTTCCCTGTTCAACTGCAGTGAGCGCGCATGAGGCATCACCATGTTCTCGGCAAATAGTGAAGGGAAAACTGAGCACGTGACATAATATTAAGGCATGTAGTGCTGAGTAGTCTTCTCAATGCGGCAACAAGACATCTTTTTATAATTACCCGGAATACAGTTCCGCCTTTGTTCTGACCCAATTGATCATATCGACTAAATGCATTATCATTTGTCATGACCGAGCTTTATAGGATTCCGAGTATTGGGGTATGCCGAAGACCTGCTCCTTGAAGATTCCGCTCCAGACTTGATTCGAGAATGTCTCGCCAGGACAAGTGGCAAATGCCCTAGCCTTCACTACTCCATCGTCTCATGTCATAAAAGATAGAGAAGGAAATACATCAGAGACGGTTACGCTGGTTCCAGCAGGGACTTATCCCCTGTAGTTCAGACTTACCACAACCTTTTTATCTCCTACAATTTCACTAGCTATTCACCCTGTTTGAATGGGCTGGGTCTAGAAGCAGTGATCCTCGCCAGCTCCATCGGTCCTTTACTAGTAGGAGAAATGAAAAATATCAAAAAATGCTTGCACACAAAACATGAAGCCAAATTACTAGGATGTGGATAGCTACAGGCGGTATTACATAGTCTAGAGAGACATCAGAGCTGGTGCATAACTGAACTTTTATTACAAAATTAACTCCTGTAAAATGACACTAATAGTGGGGTGTAATACATTGAAATTATATCCATTATTACTTTGACAATCACCTGAGGCTAGCTTTCTTTATCTTTTTTGATTCTGAATGCAAGCCCATATCAAATTTTAAATATGAGGAGGGGGCCGTAGCTGGCTCCTGCAACGCACTGTAGCTTATTTCAGCCATCAACCTATACACCTTCTCAATCTTATTAGGCGGTCTACGGCCTGATACCTTCCGTAAATAAGTAGAGAAATCTTGTCTGTAAGAATATCTCCCGAGTATTTTATCTAGCTCTTGGAACAATCTCAACCTATTTCGCAAAAAGTTTAAAATCATCGCACCATTTTTTGCCGGGTTATTGAGGTCAGTCATCGGCCACCATGATTTATCTTCGCGGCTTCGTTTGAATAGGTGTAGCTGTCCATAATACCAGACAAGCACCATCTGCGACTCATCCTTTTCCCATGCCGCGTAGAGTTGACGATCTGAGACTAAATCTTCCAAATCCAAGGTATTTGAAAAGGCTACTAACGGCACATTTTGATTTTTTGATGGGGCATAACGATTGTAGCCTCCTACAATCGATATATCGCCCTGAAAAGCCAAGCCGATGATATCGCTATTCGAACAGGTAGAACTTTGAGAGATTATCTGGTTTCCCGATTTCGTTTTATCTTTAGAGCCGTCCCATTGTTTATAGATTACCTTCCGGCACTTTTCTGATGACAATTCGTGACCCTCTAGCTTGGGATAAAAAAATTTGATATCTGGGTCCAAGTTGTGTGCGACTATCGCTTCTATCTCCGTGGACGACAAGGTAGGTGAGCAATAAGCGCGCAGTTTGGTGGGCTTATGAGTACTTTGGTCCGCCGTCGTAAAAATATCGTCTTCTACTTTGATTTCAGGGAATCCTCCGCTGTCGCCAATTTTGTAGGCGCTATAGAAAGAACCTTTATAACTATCAGAGAGTAGAACTAATCGATTCAAATGTGGCATTTGTTTCCATTGGTTCGGTGATTCTAGAGAGCTCTGGTCATAAATCTGATTAGGTGCAGTTAAGAAGATGAGGGCAAAGACACAGGATATCATGGTTGACTTGAGTTTTATTCGGCGACACCTTTGGGCTAATGTGTATAGCTTGAATTATCAAGTGGTTGCGGCCAAAGACGATTTTTTCCTCCAAATTATTTAACCAACACGCTGTTCACCTTTCCTTGAAATTTATTTGATAGTTGGCACCCAAATTATTGGTGATTGAAGATGTGAAGTGCAGAGACAGAAGACGGACCATTCTTTTCCTTAATAAGTTCCGAACAGTCTCGATATTTGGCGCATGTCTCCAAGAAGAACTCATTTCAATACCGTTTTACGAGTCAGTCTGGTTTTATTTGATGGTTTGCCGTAACAGGAATGGCAGATGATGGCGGGTTTCTATTGTCTAGGCTTCTTTAATGAGGTAATTTAGAGGGAAGGATGCGGGATGCAATGAACACTCGAATTTGGGGGAGGGCAAGACTGAACACCTGTACGCGGTGTCCTCTACGAACCTGGGAGTGAAATATTCTCCCAGAGCCAAGTTCAGTCAAATTTCGCAATATCAAAGAAGTTGGCCCACGAGGCAAAAATCCAAATTACTCATCCACTTCGTTATTTCGCTCCCAACGAGTTTGACCCCTATCTTCGTCTCATCGAGTCTACAAGTACGACCAAGTACATCCTCATTCCAATGACCACACCACTCTTCGACCTTCTCTGGCCTCAGCTGGTCACCAAATACACGCCCACGCCGATATTTATACCCGCCGGAGGATGCAAGGCGTGGCGCACAAATCTGGGAGACAGTTCTTTGGGATGGATGTGAGAGGGATCTGGACAAGTTGACAAGATGATGCGAAGGACGGATATAACCTCGAAGGGCATGAGTTTCCGAATTTTGGCAAGGAGTTTTTCGAATTGGGCTTTGTGCGCGCCAAGACTTCGCTTGCGAGAGTGCAGCTGACACTATAAAAACAAGCAAACGATGGAAGGTGTTGTGGTCCGCCACCTGGTGGTGTTCTCCGGTATAGTTTGAGTAGCCTGGGCACCTACTCCACTTGGGAAGGAGATATCTCAGACCATATTTCGCGCGGAGAAAAGTTGAAAGATGATGGAGGCATATCTGGATAACTCAGGGTTTTTGAGACGTTTCCCTGGGTGGGTATTCACGGATGAGGGTTGACTTGGGGTGAAGAAAAAGCCACCATAACTTCGCAGTGGTACTTGCAAATGAAATCCGAGGCATGAGTGCTCTTCTTGTAAATTGAGTCATCTATTATACACTTCTCTGATATTGTGTCATAGCTAGATAGCTGCATACGCAATTAAAATCTGATGCAAAAAAAAAAAAAAAGTCGTCGGGGAGGGACTAGACTTCTCGTCTCATGCTCTATGAGTGCTACAGTGCCTCTGGGATATAAAATGTTAACCTCGAAACTGGGATGTTTGAGGGATTAGCCCTGTAGGCACAGTTGGGCTAGCTCGTAATAGGTTAGTATGTCTCTCCTCCTTACCCCGCTCGCCATGAAGTATGGTCCAATTGTCTTCTTCTCACAATTGCTTCCAGAAACACATTTTCAACGACATTTTGGCTGCCTAACCTTAACAGTCCTTGAATCTTAACATCACTATGAATTCATCCTCTATTCAAGCAAACAATACCTCTCGAAAATTCTGCTTCTGAAACTAAAGTTCGCAAGCATCTAACTCGCGATCAATGTATTGAAATAAGAACATAAAGAAGACTTGGCTTGACATTACAACATATATCCGACGAACTTAGCTTCACAAGAAGGCAAGTGCAACTTACGTGTGCTCGAGAGACTGAGAATCCTATGCCTCGCAAAAGACCCTTACCAAAATTAAGCGCGGAACAAGTTGATGAGTTTGAGGCTTTCGTCCGGGAATCTCCTGAAAATCGACAGATGTGCTATTTGGAAATAGTAATGGCACCCTTCAGCCACCAGGGATGAAATGAGCATTAACTCTCAAATGCCCTCAATAAAATGGCTTACAGCAGATGCATTGCTCGGAAGAAGTCTCCGTTAAGTGTGGTTAACATGCACGAAAGATATACAGCGGTGTTAACGGGAAATGGAGGGTACACAAATTATTAGGATGGAGCTGACTAATGTAAAGCATGTAGAACGGTTTCATTTTACTTGCGAGCCATACTGAGGGCTTCGATGTACACTTTTGCAATACAGGGCAATTATTTGTGAAATAGATGTATATTTGTACATAATATCAATTGATTTTTTTAATTTTTAATTTTAAAGGAGGACCATTGTACCCTTTTTTTAAATCATTTCATACGTATTCGGATTTCTAGCTATGACACATGACCGGTGCTATGTATACATTTTGGATGACTCTTTTGACGTTAAGGACACTCTTACTCTGGATTTCATTTGCAAATGCCACTATGAGGTATGTTCACTTACACAAACAGTCGACCCTCCTCCGTCAGTACCCACCAAAGGGAATTTCGAAACCTTTGGTTATCCAAGCATACCAGCGCCACGAGAAAAGTGGTTGTGTTTTGCCGGATTTGAACCAGCGATCTACTGTCTCAAGTGGGATATGTGTCCAACCTATCCAGACTCTACTTGGCAGACCGGTCAAGACGATGTACCACCGCACCATCTAACCATAGCAGCTTTAATAGTGTCGCCTGCACTCTCGCAACCGAAGTCTTGGCACGCACAAAGCTCAATTTGTAAAAACTCCTTTCCAAAATTCAAAATTCCATGCCCGTCGAGACTGTATCCATCCTTCGCATCATCTTGTGAACTTGTCCCGAATCCTCTCACGTCCATCCCAAAGTGCTATCTCCCAGATTTTCGCGCCACGCTTTGATTCCTCCGTCGGGTACAATTATAGGCGTGGGCATGTATTTGGCGACCGGCTGAGGCCAGAGAAAGTCGACGAGAGGTATGGTCATTGGGATGAGGATGTACTATGTCGTACTTGTAGACTTGATGAAGCTTGGTTGAGAATCGGACTCTTTGGGAGTGAAAGATTGACGTGGTGGAGTAAATTGAGTTTTTGCCTCGTGGGCCAACTTCTTTGATATTGCGAAATTTGACTGAACTTGGCTCTGGGAGAATATTTCACTCCCAGGTTCGTAGAGGACACCGCGTACAGGTGTTCAGTCTTGCCCTCCCCCAAATTCGAGTGTTCATTGCATCCCGCATCCTTCCCTCTAAATTACCTCATTAAAGAAGCCTAGACAATAGAAACCCGCCATCATCTGCCATTCCTGTTACGGCAAACCATCAAATAAAACCAGACTGACTCGTAAAACGGTATTGAAATGAGTTCTTCTTGGAGACATGCGCCAAATATCGAGACTGTTCGGAACTTATTAAGGAAAAGAATGGTCCGTCTTCTGTCTCTGCACTTCACATCTTCAATCACCAATAATTTGGGTGCCAACTATCAAATAAATTTCAAGGAAAGGTGAACAGCGTGTTGGTTAAATAATTTGGAGGAAAAAATCGTCTTTGGCCGCAACCACTTGATAATTCAAGCTATACACATTAGCCCAAAGGTGTCGCCGAATAAAACTCAAGTCAACCATGATATCCTGTGTCTTTGCCCTCATCTTCTTAACTGCACCTAATCAGATTTATGACCAGAGCTCTCTAGAATCACCGAACCAATGGAAACAAATGCCACATTTGAATCGATTAGTTCTACTCTCTGATAGTTATAAAGGTTCTTTCTATAGCGCCTACAAAATTGGCGACAGCGGAGGATTCCCTGAAATCAAAGTAGAAGACGATATTTTTACGACGGCGGACCAAAGTACTCATAAGCCCACCAAACTGCGCGCTTATTGCTCACCTACCTTGTCGTCCACGGAGATAGAAGCGATAGTCGCACACAACTTGGACCCAGATATCAAATTTTTTTATCCCAAGCTAGAGGGTCACGAATTGTCATCAGAAAAGTGCCGGAAGGTAATCTATAAACAATGGGACGGCTCTAAAGATAAAACGAAATCGGGAAACCAGATAATCTCTCAAAGTTCTACCTGTTCGAATAGCGATATCATCGGCTTGGCTTTTCAGGGCGATATATCGATTGTAGGAGGCTACAATCGTTATGCCCCATCAAAAAATCAAAATGTGCCGTTAGTAGCCTTTTCAAATACCTTGGATTTGGAAGATTTAGTCTCAGATCGTCAACTCTACGCGGCATGGGAAAAGGATGAGTCGCAGATGGTGCTTGTCTGGTATTATGGACAGCTACACCTATTCAAACGAAGCCGCGAAGATAAATCATGGTGGCCGATGACTGACCTCAATAACCCGGCAAAAAATGGTGCGATGATTTTAAACTTTTTGCGAAATAGGTTGAGATTGTTCCAGGAGCTAGATCAACTGCTCGGAAGGTATACTTGGCCACAAATTTTGACTGACTATTTTCGGCCATTACCAAACCTTAACCCGTTTAATAAAATTGGGAAAGCGTATAGGTTGATGGCTGAAATAAGCTCCGTTACGTTGCAGGAGCCAGCTACGGCCCCCTCCTCATATTTAAGGCGTACTATGGGGCTTTCAGCATCAAGCAACGTAAGGGCATTTAGCTTCAGATGATTGTCAAGTAATATTGCATATTACTTGAAGTTATTGTACCTCACTATTGGTGTCATTTCACAGTAGTCAAATTAGTGAAGTTATGACAAATTGTAACGCATTTAGTCGATATGATCAATTAGACCAGAATAAAGGCGGTACTGTATTTTAGGTAATTACAAATTGATACCTTGTTGCTACCTAGAGGAAATAACTACTTAGCACTACATGCATTGGGATTATATCACGTGCTCGGTATTCCTTTCACTATTTACCCAGAACACGTGGATGCCTGACGTACGCTTAGTGCAGTTGTACAGCACCTACATAACTTTTATCAAGGAAATTTGTTCACGTAGGTCAGTTGTGTATCTGGCTATTCATCACGGTCAATATATCAATGATCCTTTAAGTAACCAAAGAAGATAGGAGCATTGTAAAAGGTATGGCCTGAGCTAGAGAGGAGCTCGAGTGCTAGATAGTCCAAGACTCAAGTATTACAAGAAGCACAACTACTCTCTCACACCTGTATACCAGCTCTTATGTCTTTCTTGTCTATGCACTACGGCATATAACTGTGCACTCCCAGTTAAGTAACTAGAAATATACTCTAGAGATTTGCGATTGAGTTAGGGTACCCATTACGTTTTCTTCTCTATTGCTTTCGAAATTTCCAGTGCACCCTCATATAAAATGGAATAGAATAGTAGAGACAAGGACAGATTAGAACAGAATGAAATAGAATATGGTAGATTAGGATAGAATAGAGCAGAACCGTACAGAAATTATCGGACACAGTTCCTATTGATTAAAAGCAGGCCCTAAGTCCGTAACATTATCTTATGTTTTACCGAAAATTTAGAGATCCAACTACATCAAAGAGGAATCCGGCCAAATTCAGAGTTATGAATAACATGAATATTTGACATTAAACACATGAAAGAAGTTTGCAACATTCTTCACACCGCTATTACCATACGTTCCAAGTTGTCGAAGCTGGTAATCCGTCTTTTTTCAAAATTTTTCAATTAAGAATTTATGGTATGGAGTACGCTGCCTTTCAATTCTCAGCTTTCTGATTTCAACCATAATATGATCAGATTTATTTTCCGTGTCAAGGGGGATGCAGGATGAGCACGGAATAAGATCAACTGCTCTATACAGAAACCCATACTGTGCGATCCTGTCATCCAGGTTATTGAATAAGTTCATATAGTAGCGCATGAAATGTATAAGAATCGAACCGTTGCCCTGTTCTACCTCTATTTTCGTCTTTGGCCACCATGTTGTACTCCCACTTTCCCTTTCGAAAAGATGCAAATGGCCAAAGTACCAGACGAGCGCCATCTGCGTTGCCCTATATTTCCAAGTCCCAAGAATTTGTTCAGGTGAAACCATCAGATGCAGATCTACAGAGCTTCTTACATTTACTTTTGGAACTTCAGCTTCGTTCACTGCTTCCATATTTTTTGTCAAAGTAGCTTTCGTATCTTTGTTGGTATAAGTTGGGGCCATTTCGCTGTAAACTCCAGTTACTAGTAAAAGGCCTCGATGAGCTAAGCTGATGATGTCACGACTTGAGCATGCGCGGTTTTGTGCGAGCTCTTTTGGCCATCTTGATGAATTTTCCAGTAATTGATACCACTCTTCCTGAATCAGCTCTTGACAATTGCGCTCTGAGGTTGTGGGGGGTATTGAATCTGCGTAGTATGTTTTACCCATCGGAGTTAAATCATACTTAAATGTTTCAATTATTTTCATAGATGATAAGGTGGGTGAGCAGTAAGCCACTACATTAGTTCTAGGATCAATGCGTGTGTCTATGGTCATAGCTATGTCAAATTGTGCGTCGGGTCTAGGGAATTGGCCGTTAGATGGAAACTCATAGGCACCATAGAACGAATATCCGAACCCATCCGCGAGAAAAACTAGACTTTTCGGAACATCAACTCTTGTCGGTTCTTTTGCTCTATTATATGACGAGTGATAAGATGATGAGAGACCGTTTGACGCTCTGTAACCCGAGAAAAGAAGTGCATAGGCGCAGGATATCATGACCGACGAGAGTTAGGTTTCGTTACACTGACAGATTGGTAAGAGTCTTATGGCTAATCAAATGGTTACGGCCAGATATAACGCTTGTCGTTGAAGGGTTCTGCCGATACGTATTCTCCCTTTGTTGGGTAGGTTTGGTACGGATTAACACCGTTCGTTTTGGCAACTGAGGATGCAGTTCGAAAATAAAACTGATCTGTGCCTTTTAATGATTTGACTCACACATAATTCGCATTTGTGTAGGCTTCTTTAGGGAAACTCATTTTATCAAGACTATGCGAGTCAGATAGCTTGCGAGTTGTGGGGAACGGTAACAGGGATGGCCAGTGATACCCCGTTCCTTCTGGCTAGATACTGATGAAGAACAAAATTGGAGAAAGTGGAAAAGCGGCTCATATTGGATTGAGGAATATAGCTTATTTCCGAGTGACATGGTAATATACGGATAATCGTTTTTTGATTTGATTTCATTTAGCCCATTCAAGTACCTTGTGGGCCCATGCAGGAATATCTAGCTATAATATTTACACAGGAGGAAACCAAATTGGGTAAAAACCCGCCACAACTGTCTGCCTCGTGTCTATTTGTTTTCTGAGGTTTCCCACAGGAAGTGCGTTCACACTGTTTATTCAGTGTGAAATCCAACATATCCTTGTCCACGTCGTCTCATCTTTTCGTCCAATGCAATTTCTACTTCTCCTGCAAGCCGGAATTGTTCAAACCAGCCTTTTGCCAGGATCCATTTTGTAATTCTCTCTATGTCATCTGGGATGTTCATCAATGCCGCAAATGACCTGTCTTTTGCCTTTCAAAGCACCTCTCCTCTTCCCATTGCCCACTGAGGACACGCCAAGACCATATGTTTGACATTTTGAGACGGATATCCACACTGACATTTTGGATTAATCAATCCGAGAACTTTCCTTCGATACAGATAAGAATTGAGACCATTGTGCTCACTTCTTATCTGAACTGCAATACTGCTTTGGGCCCTACTAAGGTTCCGGTGGATATCTGAGGGTGTGTTTCTATATGTAATCCTTTTTCTGCCTGTTGTCTCGTCTGCAATAATATTTACGGAACGGATAATCATTAATTTGTATTTTAAGAGCCAGCTTCAAAGGGCTAGGCAGAAGGCAAGTGACACTTTATACACTGATTTGGCTGGATGGTGCGATGGTATATCATCTGAGCAGGTATCCAGAGTAGATTCTGGGAAGCATGGTCACATATTCCACTCGAGACAGGAGATTGCCGGTTCGAATCCGGCAAAATGTAAACACATTTCTCGCAGCGCTAGTATACATGGATGACGTAGGCATGCTTGGATAATCAAAATTTTTGAATTTCCCTTTGGTGGGTACTTACGGAGGATGGTGGACTGTTTTTGTAAGTGAACACAGCTTAGATTAGATTAGATTAGATTTTTATTATAGTCCTAACTGAGTCAATGACTATAGAGGACTCCTAGAATCTACATATAAGATACTAGCTACATTTTTTTTATATTCCAATTTTACATGTGAACACAGCTCATAGTGGTATTTGCGAATAAAATCCGGAGTATGAGTGTCTCTAGCGTCAAAAAATTCATCCAAAATGTATACATAGTACCGGTCATGTGTTATAGCTAGATAGCTGAATACACATTAAATGATTTTAAACAAAAAATAAGATACACAATAATTATCCCTGCGAATGATACAGTTGTCAATGCGTTTTTACATACTATTTTCTGCTATTCTGTTATCGAATCTCGTTCTTTGGCCATATTCGTGCGCCTCGTCTTGAGAAGTTTTATTATGATCTGAGTGCCACTTAAAGGCCCTGCTTTCGAGGATAGGCTCCGCTTAGGTTTGCGTTAAGCCTTAATTAGACAGCGCAGATTACAGGCAAGCACCAGCTTACCTGTCGTCACAGTATTCACAGTATTCACGGATAACGCCTGACTTGGGGCGAGGAAAAAGCCACGATGACTTCGCTGTGGTACTTTGAAATGAAAGACAAGGTATGAGTGCTCCATATGTATGTTGAGCCATCTATTTTATATTCTGTACTTGATATTGTGTCATTTAGATAGCTGCGTACGTAATTGTAATCAATAAAAATAGTATCAAAGTGAAAGGTTCGTACGAAGCTTAAACCATGTGATCTGACCATATTTCTAGAAAAAAGAACATAAGCGAAAAAAGCTGGTCAGGCACAGGGGGTCGAGTCAGTGCTGCGAAATTCCCCTTGGTGCTTTTGCCTTTCAATCATGTAAATTTCTGGCCAAATAAAGCCAGCATTAGCAGTGGCGGGGAGTTCTATCGCAGCACGCACCCGTGTCAAACCTTCCGGGTGTAGGACTATAGCCTGATAGCTTCATTTAATTAGTTCTGCTAAAAACATTTACGGAAATGTAGATTCCATATCCTACGTGATTCTTTGGTATTTTTTATGCATCAGATTTTAATTGCATATGCAGCTATCTAGCTATGACACAATATCAGAGGAAAGTACAGAAAAGATGACTCAATTTACAAGAGGAGCGCTCATGCCTCGGATTTCATTTGCAAGTACCACTGCGAAGTTATGGCGGCTTTTTCTTCACCCCAAGTCAACTCTCATCCGTGAATACCCACTCAGGAGAACGTCTAAAAAACGCTGGGTTATTGTTATGTTAACAAGGCTATATAGGAGCAGGAGGATGGATACTCTTGGGGAAGTTATGCTCACAGTAGGTCTCTATATTCACTATCGCGTGTGTTCTCGTGATATGTTAGACTTGACTCTATATTCTCATATAAAGGAAACTTAGTTACAAAGAATGGATGGAGGTTGAGACCTCCTTAAATCTTGCTCCAGACTTACTGTGTTGTTCACAGCCTAGTGCTAGAACATTCCCATATGATATCATTTCTCTTCTACGAGAAATGACCAGCTCGTTCTCTCTCAGTCTATCAGTCTCTCGCTGATTCCATTATCTCTTTTCCAACGAGTTCTAGCTTGGTCCAGTATACCCACACATGCATTACACAATTTTTTTTGAAATCGATGAAAAATTCACCTACCCATCCCCTCAACCCTTAAATTCATAGTTTCACAAGCTAATTTCATCATTATCATAGTCGCAAGACCCTGAGTCTCCGAAATGGCGACGGGTCCTACGAAAATCACTCGCCCCGCGCGCCAGCACAAAGCCATGGCGAAAATTAAAATCAGGTTGCAACACCGCCTAGATGCAAGAAATCTATCGATCGACACGATAGATCAAGACAAGATGGAGTCAGAGATGACCGAAAGATTGAGAGTCTTCCAGGAAGACTCAGACTCAACAAACCCAGACGTGGAAATGGGCGATATGGTCATCGACCAATACATAATCGAGGGTCTCGACAAATCCAGATGGAATGTCGCTCAGAAAAATGATGATGTGGTCCCTGTGACCTCCGTCATTTCAACATCAAAGAAGATTGCTGCTCCTGCTGTCAAGAAGGCAGCAATTCCAGAGGTGAATAAGGCTAATCAAGCCACACCTGCTCAGATCGCCAGCAAACCCTCATCAGTGGCGACTGAAAAACAACAACCTTCCTGCAGCGAAAGCAGGAAACAAAAAATCAATGGCTGCCCCCCGGAACTACAAGCCATGATTGAAGCTGAAGAGCGCAGGGCAGCTCAAGCAGCAAAAAATATAATGATCTGCACTGCTGCGATCAATGCTGTCGAGACCGCGGTCTCCCTATACTCAGAAGAGTCGAGCGATCCGTTCATCGACTCGATGAAAATATATCTTCGAGCAGCCATAGCTCAATTTATGAAGTCGGGACCCAGTGCGGCCCCCCCAATCCTTCCACAGCGCCCAAGCTGCCAGGAAAACATGAGTTGTCCTATAACCAAGGCCAAAGAAAGAACTCCGATGAACAGTCAGGAGCTACAACGCCAAGTCACCCAGGCCAAATCGACCTGGGCAACAGTCGCCCGGGGCTCTCCCCAAATGTCAATCGCTCCAGCGAAGACTGTTCGAGTCGCCCCAAATCCAGCAGTACAGGTCAAGAAACAAGCTAGACCTGTGACTGCAAAGCCAAAAGATGTTCGTCTGTTTCTTCGCCTCGGAGAGGAGCATGCATGACGCGCTCTTTCGCCAGCTGGCGTGAGAGATGCCGTGACTAAATTGGTGGAGGTTCCATCCTCCAATATTGAACATGTGTATCGTGTTCCCACCGGCTTCGCTATGAAAGCCAAAAATGAAGAAGCACGCCAGCTCCTCTTAAACGCTGCAGAATCATTCAGCAGGGTTGAGGCTAAGTTGGAGACAGCCTCGGATCTGGCTGCCCTTCGAATCGCAACGGTTCCAGTGGCCCTATACACACTTATGGGCAAGGTTACAGTCACTGAGGAGATGGTGGCAGAAGAAATAACTCGAACCACCAAGGCGGTTCCTGTACGTGTCCGTCCACTCGGAAAGTCGCGAGTAGGAGCTCCTTACCAAACTTGGATAGCTCACTTCGAGAGAGCGTCTGCCCCTCGGCCGGGCTTCCGACTTTTTGACAACTCTGGAATTGCAGTTCGTCACCAGCCTAAACAGGCAATAAGCCAGTGCAAACGATGCCTGCAATTCCACGGCACTCGAGGCTGCTCACGTGCCCCAGCTTGCTGGAACTGCACGTCAACGATGCATTCCTCCGCAGAGTGTAAGGCACATACAAAGTGCCGCAACTGTGGGGGCCCCCACCGATCGGACAGTCGTGACTGTCTAGCTCGTCCTACAAAGTCTGGACCAGCATCCAAAGAGAACCTCGAGGCAATCAGGCAGGCGAGTCAACGGGAATTTGCTGCAGTTGTACGAGCAAAATCAGCTGTCAGACGCGCTGAAGCCGCAGTTTCAGCAGCCTCTGAAAAGGCAAAAATAGCTCAGACGAGCTTCAAGTCCAGCAACTGCTTCGAAGTGCTGATGACCGATTCATCGCCTTCTGTAACCAAGGTTACAGAGAACGTGAATCGTGAAGAAAGCTTATAAA